GATCAAAATGTGATAATCGATCAAATACTCAATTTGTGTTATTTTATGAATAAAAAAATGGAATATATAATAAAGTTATGAATTTTACTTCATAAATATCCTATATAGTAACTAAAATAACAATTTAATAGTAAAATTTGATTATTTACAATGTTAACATTCATTTTAGTAGAATGGGTAGACTCGCCCCATACGAGAGATTTGTCAGCAATTCTATAAAAATATACAGTAACAGCGTAACTGTTAATATTTTCTAAAATAGATTTCACAGCTTTAGAGAGGGATAAATAGCGATTCCGAAACACCTATTAAAAGACTTTTTTCTTTTACAAAAGTTTGACCACTTGAAAGTTGACAAACTGAAAAAATGGGTAGACTCGCCCCGGTTTACGGTATTATTATTATTATAAATGACTTTATTATACACTACGGTCATTTTACTAGAATTGTTTTGTTCTCCGTGTATACACTTTCAAAAATTTATTTACTTTGTGAGACAGCGCATTTTTTCCAATGTACAAAATGAATTTAAAAAATACTCATTAGATTATTTTTAGATATTCTACTCTTTAGAATTATTTTAATTAAAAAAATAACAACATTAAACCTCTTGCAAATACTTTTCTTCATTTTCAAAGAGAAAAGAATTAGTGAAGTAGTAAATAAATTAGCTGTGATTAGTTAGTGTTTATTAATTTATGTTTGTTAATTAATTAATTTACTCGCCTTCAAACAATGGCTTTCAACTCAATCATTCGAATATTGTTTTGAAATTTCGCATAGTTTTAAAATTCATTAATAAATACTTTTCTCTAACGCTTTTCCCCCGGAAAGTTTCCTCCCTACGGTGAGTTGCAGGCCAGCCAGATGTCCAGTAATTTGTTTTTCCTTTTACGCCAGATTTAGTTTTTAACACAGTTTGACCAGTGTACATGAATTAAGTAATAACTTTTAGGTACAGCTGATACCGGCTCAGAACCATTAAATTTTACATTCAGTTTTAGTTAGTAATTTTAGGGACGTTTTAACTTAAAAGAAAAAAAAATTTTAAAAAAATTTAAAAAACAGGTTTTTTAGGTAAAATTTCATTAATAATTTTCTTTCTTCCCCACATTTACAATTAGCTTACAAAATATTTATTGCAACATTACAGTTTTTAAAATCTGTGAACATTATTTAATCGATTTTTAAAGGTTCTTATAAAAAAGTGTGGTAAAAAATAATATTGAAAAATCAATCTAGCGTTACTAGTGTGAAAAAGTGAATTAACGAAATTTCTTTTAACTATAAAAGGGAACACTGTTCATTAACCTATTTAGTAAAAAACTCGGTTTTATTTTTTTACTTAGATAAGCAAAGATATTGGAACTAATGTCATTAGAATGTTTCCTTAAATAATTCACCCATTCTTTTTTAACAATAAAGGTTAATTTTAAAAAAAAAATTTTTTTTTTAAATGAGTTAAGTGCTATACGCGGAAACTTCTTGATTCTTAATTTATTTTAAACACATTTTTTTGAAATTCACTGTCTAGCTTTAATTAAACATCATCTAGGTAGCGAAAATTTTGAGACAAAAGTATACTAGATATTATTTAAACACTAAATATATGTCATACAACTTTTTTTAGAATCTGCATTTCGATGTTTTCAAAAAAGCGCACACATTGTAAATAAAATAAACTTCACTAATGTCGTAATTATCATGTCGTAAAACCAACTAAAAAACTACTTTAAATCAATTTGTTTTTTTGTTTTTTTGGAGTAAGTTGAAAAATTTATAAAATTCAGATGATGTTATTCCAAACAATTATGAAATCTAAAACTACATGCATATTCTAATTAAAAATAATTTCAATTAAACATATTAACTTAAAATATTAGCTGGTTTAAGTTAAAATATTTCTCTCCAAAACTCAAATTTTTTATCTTAACCCTTTGACGCAAATGGGACACCGGTGTCTTTTTTACATATGTTTTTTTTTCTGGCGCTCTAATTGCAAGCAAAAATTTATTTTAATATTTAATTCTTTCTGTCCAGTAGTTACTAAGAAAATCTGTCAGATTATGGAAATTATATTTGTACTAAAATATAAAATCCAAAAAATGCAGTTTGAAAAAAAAAATTATAAATTTTTTTTATTAATATTCAAAAATTTATTAATAATCGATTTTGTAAATTAAAAAAAATTCAATAACTGTTTCTCTCAGATGTTAAACTTGATAACTGCAAATTAGTGCAAATTTAAAAAATTATTGTTTGGAAGTGTGTAGAAAAGTTTATCTTTAACGCCGAAAAAGACGGCGGTGTTTCATTTTATAGCCATAAATTATTAAAATGCTAAATATAATATTTTTCAATTTTAGACTTTAATTAATAAATTTAAGAAAAAAGTATGAGAAATATGTTAAAAAAGTTTACGTCAAAGGGTTAATATTGGCTTATAGGTCTACTCTAACTGCTCTTTAATATCTTACTATAAATAACTAATTATAAAAATGCACTCTATTTGGCCTCATTATGAAATTTTGAAACTAAGAAAACGATGCTAACTCTACCATTTTGGCACAATTTTCGTTTTTTTTTTTTTTTTTTTTTTTTTTTTTTTTTTTTTTTTTTTTTTTTTTTTNAAATGGCGTTTCCTACCGTTTTTTCTTTACGCTTCCTGATTTTGGACATATTATTGAGAAGAACAAATGAGGTCAATTGTTTAATATCTTTTTATAGAATTAAAAAAATTCATTCATTTAGGCTTAATAAAATTTCAATGAAAATGCTTTCCATTCAAAAAAGTTGCAGATAAATCTAATCAAGTGATATCTTTTTTATTCCGAAGATTTTACTCCTTTTTTTTTCTCTTTTAATATTGAATTGAATCAAGTGTGATACCCTTTTCATTTCTAAAACTTCATTTCTGTTTTAATTTCTTTTATTTTGACATCAACAAAGTGATTCTTATCAAGATCTTAATTAAATTGAGAAAATAAAAGTGTTACGGAGTTCAAAATCTAAAACTTCAGTTAAAAATATATTGAAAGAGACCTAAATAAACGCAATGACCTCATTTATTTAAATGAAAAAAATATAACAGTGACTTTCAATTGAAATATATAGGATGCACCGTAATCATCGCCCTTAATGAATATTTTTAAAAATTTCTTCAAAAGTAAAATTTAAAAAGAAACGAAGACAATGAAGATCGCAAACTAAGATTAAAGCTAAGAAAAACGTAAGCTAATCAACATTTGACAGATCATTCTATTAGGAATGCAGGATTAAAAACATCAAAACCTATTTAATTACAGGGGAAACAGAGAGAAGTTGAACAGTGATTATTGAACACAGCTTCAAATTTCTAACTGCAATAAAAGAGTTTTCGGTGTTTTAATGCCCGCCTTAACCATAGTACTTTGTCAAATTTCGATAGAGTTTTTTTTTTATTCTTCTTCATTTAAATACTAATTTTTATACCTTTTATAACCTCATTTTTGATAGGGTTTCTATCAATTTATATATTTAAAAAGGTGGCTATGGGGCATTCTAAATAAGATGATATTTGATATCGTTTACTGTATTCTAAATATTTTTCTTTTAATGAAATAGTTATCACTTGAAAAAAATATGCACTGTAAATAATTCCGGATAAAATTACTAGAAGAAGTACTGGCACTCAGGGTGCCGGTACTTTTTACCGTAAAATCCATTTTTAACGGAACATGTTACGGAACAAAAACTCTGATATACCGAAATTTTTACAGTAATAATTACCGTAAAATCACTGAATCACTCTATTAAATGAATACTAGTGTGAAAATTACGGTATAATATTTTACAGTAAAAATGGATTTTACGGTAAAACGGATTTTACAGATGATGCACCAACGTGCTGGTACTTTATACCGCAATTTGATCCCTAATTTTTTGCAGTGTATTTAGCATTTGAAAAGAAATCTGTTTACACAAATGTAGTTCGTTCGACTTAAAGCCGTTCGGAATGCTAACAAACTTAAGCGGACATAATTTTATGAGTAAACGCCCTTACACTTAATAATGATACATCAATCGCAAATTTTGTATTAATTGTCAACGTCAAACCAGAAAAATCATGCCCCCATGAGTTTTGTTATGTTATTGCGAATTGAGCAAAATAATTTGCTATCTTTTTACAAACGATAAAATCATTATTGGAAGAAAAAAAACAAGTATAAGCACGTGAGCTTACCCATGTAATGATAAAAAAGAAACGGAAAGAAAGAAATAACATGTATATAAAGATGGTAAACTTACCAGGTTTGTACAAAAGGAGTTACAGTCCTTCAAATCCGTGCAAGAGTAAGAAGACCTCACATCCGTATGTTTATAGACAGTTAATTCTCCAACATGTAATGAGCACGAGCAGGACTTTTCCGATTTCATTGAACTTCCAGATTCCTGATAAACTGGAAAGGAGAGATGAGAAACTGGCCTGTTTTGTAAAGGTCTGTTTGGTATGAAATTATGTGGTGGGTACATGTTAGGAAAATAAGGATGATGAGGCAATGATCTAGGTCCAGTGTTGCCAAAAAGAAATGGCTTAATCTTTCCAAACATTGTAGATGGTGCGGGATATTGACTGAAAGCACTTTGGAAGGGGTTTACCATTTGTTTCAGAGGATATCTTGGAGTTCTTGGTGGAGGAGGAGATTGTCTGAAGAAACTGTGCACGTGAGCAGCCGCTGGTGCATATGGTATAGAAGTAAACACAGGTTGTGGTTGAGGCTGTGGTAAATACATGGATACTGGTGTTGCTGCACCCCTTTGGAATGGTAGTTCTGGAGGACCATACGCGACGGGTATGCCTCCGTATGGCATTGCTGGTGGTCTAAGCATCACCGGCTGCATATATGAGGCACGAGGTTGATATGGGGCAATGTGATGGCGATAGATGATTCTTGGTTGATATGGTTGAGGAGCATTTTGGTAATAAGACCATGCGCTGAAAATGAAGTAAATATTATGTAGGATAATGGGATTTTATTCTTACAGTAGCATTGAGTTAAACAAAGTAGAACGTAACTATTTGTAAGGACTGTTCCATTAGGATATCTATGACTTTTCTTTGTCCTAATCAATGATGATATTTTTCTCTTCTCTTTATTAGATGTTGAAAAAAATTAATTTTATAAATTTTGTAAGCTATGGAAAAGTATGGGATTACTGCAAACTTTACTCACCAGGAAATCTATTTTTCCTTTATCCTTAGTTTTCACATAGATCTTGCATAATTTCTTAGAAAATTTATTAGAAAAATTTAATCAGAAAAATTTTGGTGAAATTTATTTGCAAACTAGAAAAGAATATTTTAAAGGATTTCAAAAATTGAGCTATTTTTAAGAAAATAAAATTGAGATTCGCAATTATGTATGGAAAGTCACAGTTTATGATAAACATAATCATAAATTAACTTCAGATATTAAATATTCAGCATTAGAAATACACCATTTCACGTTTTTAAAAATAGATTTTTCTTCTCCATATAACGACTGCTCTTTTTTCTTTTTCTTTTTTTTCTTTTTTTTGCATTTGTGAATATTTTTTTATAATAACATACATAAATAGCATTTATATGCTGAACATGTTTTAAAAATTCTGCTTGTATAAATATTAAAAAATTTGAGGAAGCCAATTTTATGGAATTCAAGACAAAATGCGTGATATCTTAATCGCTTATATGAATTTAGAGCTTATTCTTTTCGGAAAATATTCTTTAATGTGCATATGAAGGCCAAAGTATTTAAAAAATAATAAAATTCGTTAAAACTTTTCCATGAGGTGCTTGGAAAACGAGACGTTTTTGTTCTAATATAATTACGATTTAAAGCAGACATTGCAAAACTAATTCCCAACGAGAATTTTTTATAAATTTTTCTTAAAAAAAAGCAGCTTGTTAAGCTGATTTATATGTAAAAAATTATTTTTTGATAAATTAAAGGCTGTCTTAAAAAACCAACATAAATTATTGTACCGGATTAGAGAAATTTACTTAATCGATTTAAATGGTAGTAATACTAAGAAGTATTCTGTTATTGTATTCTGTTATCTTCTTAACCAATCTGAGGGTTTCATTTTTTAAATCTTAAGGGGACACTTCAGGTTCAAAATGATTTTTTTAAAATATCAACCAATTTTAATGANGGTAGTAATACTAAGAAGTATTCTGTTATTGTATTCTGTTATCTTCTTAACCAATCTGAGGGTTTAACTTTTTAAATCTTAAGTAAACAGATTACTTATAACGAAATTGATACGATATTCTAGTTTTCTACGGACTTAACATAAACCTGTTATAAATATTTCACTTAAACAATTCGAAAACTGAACATAAGTGTCTAAATTATTATTTTATTCATTTAGTGTATCTTTATAATTTAAAATTTTTCATTTGATATTGATATAAAGTTATAAAGTAAGATAGATTACAGAGAAATTGAGTAAGATAATTTTGAAAAGATTATGGAAATTTGATTGTGAGGCTTATAATTCTTACCTCGACAAAAAAAAAAAATAAAAAAAAAAAAACACTCCTTTTAATTGGAGCAACTGACCAAATTTTTTGCACACTGAGAAAAAAAGTATGGTCAAAACTACGAGAATATGACAAAATTTGCAGTGTTTCGGGCTCTACGGGAACACCAAGAAACTCGGTTGTAACAGAACTATACTACTTTAAAACTTAATTACCACCACGCCATCTTGTGGCGAAACTTTTGAGTTGAACTGCGGCAACCGATTGGAGAACATCTCCAAAATAATCTCTCCGTTTAGTGTAATGTGAGTTTCGTTTTGTTAATATGTTTATTTTAGTAATTTGTAACTGTTTTCTGTGCTCTGCTAGTAACTATATAAATAAATAATTTCAGAGCTAGCCCGGTATTTTGTTTTCTTATTGTTTCTTGGAAAATGGTTACAAGTTCTTGAAATGGGGTTAGGGCTGATACATGATATTTGCCGAGAATCTTATCTTAACTCCTTAGGAAGAAGCTTTCAGAAATGCTAGAAGCATTGCTCGTGGTAATCATCCACTGTGTTTTATTCCGCCACACTCTTCATATGTAAGACTAGCAGTCTTAACCTAAAAAATGGAATTGATCTCCAGCAACCAACACTAAAATTTTGAAAACGGGCTCTTCAAAATAAAGTGAATATTTTAAACAAAAATTCTGTTCGGGCCCCACGTTGGGCGCCAAAATTTGTAACCATTTTCCAAGAAACAATAAGAAAACAAAATACCGGGCTAGCTCTGAAATTATTTATTTATATAGTTACTAGCAGAGCACAGAAAACAGTTACAAATTACTAAAAAAAACATATTAACAAAACGAAACTCACATAACACTAAACGGACAGATTATTTTGGAGATGTTCTCCAATCGGTTGCCGCAGTTCAACTCAAAAGTTTCGCCACAAGATGGCGTGGTGGTAATTAAGTTTTAAAGTAGTATAGTTCTGTTACACGGTAATTTTTTCCGAAACGCTTCGTTAATATGTAAAATTATTGTGTAAAATTAACGAAAATATATGGTTTTATAATGTGTGATAAAATTTGGTAATTCTCGCTAAATTCGGTAATTTAATTATGATACCTTAGAATATGGTATAAAAAACATTTATTTGATCAATTTTACTTTTCAGTTTTTTTTTCTTTTCTTTTTACTAAATGTGAGGTAATAAGAACTATATTTTTTTAAACTAGGATTTTCGTAAATCATAACCATATAAACGGAGAAATTGCCAAATGAATTCTCGAAATACCGTATATTGTGGTTTTATTTACCAGAATTATGTTTTTTTTAATTTTTTACCAGAAATATTATTACGTAAGAGAAAAGTAATTTTACCGGACTTTTTTTCGCCGTGTTGTATGTTTATGAGTTTAATTCAACAATATTAGTGCTTTGAAAATTATTAATATACCGAAAAGTTTAAAATAGTAAAAATTAATTATTCATGTAAAGTATAGAAGTACTATCAAAACTGTATTACTATTATAGAAATATTTATTCATTAAAAAATAAGAAAAAATTTTAATATTTGAAGATTTTAAATCTAAAACCATTAGCGAAATTTTAAATTGTAATTAAAACGGCTTGAAATTTTTATAAACGGCTATTGCACCCATTAAAATTAAGTTTAGTTGTAATTAAAACAATTAAATATTTTCTAATTGCAATTAACGGTTAATTGTTTTGCACACTTGTTCAAAAATGACTTTATTTTATCAATTTGTAATATAATATTCTTTAAATGAAAGTCAATCAAAACTTAGTTAATACTAATTATGCTTTAAATTTTATGAAATAAAACTTTATACCACCCTCAGTTTTGTAATTTTTTTAAATCTTTTCTTTTTTTTTCCTATTTATTTTATGATAAATTCATATGTTGTTGTTTAATATAGCCAGAACATTACTTTTTTTCTTTTCTTCGATTTATTTTATGAGAAATTCCTAGATTGCTATTTAATATCTCAAGAACATTTTTCTTCTTTTTTTCGATTTATTTTATGAGAAATTCATACATTGTTATTTAATATCGAAAGAATATTTTTCTTCTTTAAGTTGTGTCTTTTATTATGTAAAAATTTTAAAATCTCGGGAAGAAGAAGTTCAGAAGTTTTTAATTTTATACTTAATAAAAATTATGTCACGGTGTAGATGTAGAATTTTCAGAATAGTTTACAATACAATTTATATCAATTAGTTTATTTACACAAATCTAAGCATTAGATAAATTTTAAAACGTTTCTCAGTTTTGAATATATCATAATCGAATCGAATCAGAAAAATAAATAATCACTCTATATTAATAAAACATTTTGTACGTTGAAAAATTAATCGGTGAAAAGTGACTTTTAAAATGCTATTTTTAAAACATCTTACAAGTAAAAGAAGATTTAATATTAATTTTCATACCATAGCATGAAGATTTAATCTTAACTATGATCCAATGTATGAATACGGTATGAACGAGCTAATTTTCATACCATAGTATTAAAATTAAGCACACGAAATTTTTCTTCCGAAAGTAATGTCTTTATTAAAATACAATATTAAATATTTTACACAAAAAACTTAACAGTTTTGTTCTTCATAGCTTCTTAATTTTGACTTACATCAGAAAACAAAAGGCAATTAAAAAGAAGTTTTCACTTTTAGATATTCAAAAAAAAAATTTAAAGCAAGAAAAAGCAATAAAAATAAAAGATATGTGTGTTTTATTTTTATTGTTTTTTCCTACTTTAATTAGATTCTTTTTTAATATCTAAATTAAAATAAAGCAAATTTGGTTTTAGCTGCCTTAGGAGCTTTTTCATTTTGATTTAATGCTTTAATTGTTAATTTACCTTTTCTGTCTCTTTCTGTTTTTGTAAATTAGATTCGTTTTCTGATTCAAGAAGTTTTCCCTCAGCAATTTTTTAAAATTTGCTTTTAATTACCATAATTTAAAAATAGTTATATAATTAATAATTAATAATTTTTTTAAGTTATGTTTTGAAAAAAATTTATCAATTAGCGCTAAGCAGATTATTTTTTATTGTAACGTAAATTTATTAATTTTAATTTATTCATCAAAAGTTTTAACCAAATTTTTAACATTTTATTAAAGTTTTCAGGGAAAATTATAAACTAATGTATGAACGTTTTTCTATGAATTTTTTAAGCTTTTATTAATGAATTTTCCTAATATAATTTTTTTAATAAAGCAATGCCACTAACTCTAATGAATTAATTCAAAAATAAAATAATTAAAAATGTCACTTACCACCGAACCGATAAGCAAGCCAAAAGAAGAAACGCTAATTTACCCATGTCTTCCAAGTAGAACTATTTGCATCAAATGAACGATATAGTTTCCCCAAATTCTTCCAAAAAGGAATACTTCTCCACAATACAAAAAACTACAGTTTTAAGGCGAAAGAAAATTCGTTCTGGTTCACCAAGTTTATAGGTGGATTCGTGACGTCATTGAATTAAAGGGTTCACCATGAATTTGAACGTTATCGTTTATGTTCCTCTTATTAAATATGTGAGAGGGGAGAGGAAAGGGTATAGGGTACAGATGGTCCAGCTTAGAACCGGTGCCTTGACAACTTTGGAGATGGGACAATAGTTTGCTGATTTACAAAACTAGTTTTTGTTTTTAAGTGATAGTTTAATCCGACTTATGTTTCCGCGTGACATTGGGTGGACTTCTCTGATTATGTTATAAGAGGATTAAATTATGTTTGGAAAGTAATTTGGTTGACTTAAGCTGGTGATTTGACATTTTGTAGCAGACTAATCGTTTGACATTCGGCGTATTCTAATTAATGTCGTTCATTTTTCGTTCATTTGAAGTTCATTTTTAAGTGATTGTGGAGATTTTGAGAATTTTTTTTCTCTTTTTTTTTTCTCTCTCTCTGTGTTAGAAATTACAATAACTTACCTAAAGAAATGGTTTTTAATAAAACAATATCCTATGAAAGTACCAATTCAAGTTAAATATCAATAGTAAAAAAGTATTAAAAGAGTGATCTAAATTTTAATTTGACATTTTCTAAAACAGCCAATAAAACACATATTGCGACAAAGAGGAAAGAAACACTTATTGTTTTTCTCCATGAGCTTGTTTTGCATTTTTGGCACCAAATTCAAGCGGAAAATTTTAAAATTTGAGGGTTTTTCTCCCAAAACAAAGAAAAAAAATGTGCCGATAAAGTCTTAGTATCAATTCTAAAATTTAAATAGAATTGAATAAGGACAAGGAAGTGAGATTACTTTATTTAGTTTGCAAAAGTTATTTAAATTTTAATAATTCTTGAAATTTTTGCAAGGAATCAAATCTAATTTCAAATCAAATCTTTCTTCATTATTTTATGTATTTACTTTGAACATTAAAAAAATAATGGATATTTAAAAGTTCTGCCTAAAATTCTGATTTATAATAAGTAACCAAGCTGAAAGAAATAATTTTAAGCTACTGTGAAAATTTTGTTAAAACAGTAACGTAATGATATTAGTAAATAAAGCAGGAATTTAAACATTATTTTTTTTTCTTCATAAAAATATAGTCACAGTTTATTATGTTTTTTTCCTGACACAAATTGTTAAAAAATAATAGTGAAAGTTTAGATTTATAATACAAATTGAGTTTAATGGACCATACGTGTAGCATCAGTAATTATACTTATATGCTAGAACTAACGGCCAAGAAAGTCTCGATTATTTTGCTTTTAATCTTGGTGTTGTTGAACTGCTTCATTGAATGTTTTTCATTTAAATAAATAAAGAAGTGAAATATTTATGTTACATCAAGTTTCTCATGCTTTATAAACATCAACAAAAGTTTTAAAAAATTAACTTTCAAAATAATCACACACAAATGAAAGGGGAAAATAATGATCTTATGATAATAGCGTCTTTTTTTTTTTATTAATAAGAAGAAATTTATCTAGTCAAGGCTAATCTAACTATTATGAAGTTTGAAATGAAAAATTTGAAGAAGATTTTAATACGTAGTAGAACAAGTGCAATGGATTGGAAATAAATTATAATTTTAAATATCGGTCTGCTGCTTGTCACATGTACAGTGTGAAAAAAAAAGAACTTCTCTGAATAACTTTTGATCTAATTATCGGATTTTCATATTCTAGAACTCAATCTTACAGGTTCGAGAGGTGGACTCGAACTAATTAGGCTAATTTATTAGTGAAGATGATATCTTAAGTAATGATATCACATAAAAAAAACGTAATTTTCTCTGTCTAAACATACCTTTTTCTCGACAGATTTGGACTTCTAACACCCAATATATGGGGGTAGCCGCAATCTGAGAAATATGGTCCCTACAGTTTGATCAGAGAAACGGTCCTAAGTTAATTTAATATAATTTTACCCTTAATATAACTTTACTTTTTGCGTATTTCGCCATATCTCAAGAACGTTTCAAGCAAATTGAAAATTTTTTGTACATATAATGATAAAATTTGCTTACCCAAAGACAATTCCACCAAAAAAATAAATTTTTGTATATATTGATTATTTTTTATTATTTTTATTAAATAATAGCTGAAAAAATTGGAATTGTAAGATATGCAAATTTTTACATCATTTTCAAGTATTTAATTTTACAACTCAATCTTAATCGTTCTAGAACTCAAACTTAATGGTTCCAAGGAGTGACCTCAAATATGCTAATCAATTAGTGCAGACGATATTTTAAGTTACGAAATCAAACAAAAAACGTACTTTCTCTGAATGAAAAACTTTTTTTTTCCAGCTCATTCAGTCCCATCTTGGAAATATGGTAAAGTCATAGTTTGAAACTCTCAATTTTAATTTCACTTTTTGCATATTTCAGCATAAAGTCGAGAACTCCTTGAGCGAATTGAAAAATTTTTGCACACAGTTATAAAATTCGTTTATTCAAAGATGCAGAAAATAAATGTTAGTGAATATTTATTTTTTTATTTAATAATTGTCAAAAAAGTTTGAGTGTTATGGTATAATTTTTTTTTGTCATTTTAAAGTATCTAATTTTACATGGCAAAATACAAACTTCGTGCGAAATCAGTTGAATAGTTCCTGAGAAATCAAATTTTAAAAAAGTCGTATATTTAAACTAGTCCCAGATTGTGGCTACCCCCTATACTTGGGAGGGTCAGAAATCCGAATTCATTTAAAAAAAAAAAAAAAAAAAAATGAAAAANAAAAAAAAAAAAAAAAAAAAAAAAAAAAAAAAAAAAAAAAAAAAAAAAAACGGTATGTTTATTCAGAGAAAGTGCATTTTTGTGTCTGATTTCATAACTTAAAATATCGTCTGCACTAATTAATTTAACATATTCAAGGTCACATTGAGTCCTAGAACGTGTTGATCCGATCATTAGATCAAAAATTATTCAGGGTGGTCGGTTTTTTTTTCCTTCGATTTTTTTTTTAAGCTCATTGCACACATATGAACCTTGTATCTTTGGTTTGCTCTTCCTTAACAAATACTATAAATCACTTTAAACAGCATATCAAAAAAAAATATTTGGTTTCTTACATTTTCTAAATTGCAATTTTTCTAGTTATTATAACAGAATATGTTGAAATATTGATAGAAATACCAACACCTTGCAATGGTTCATTGATCTCAAAACAGCATTGTTGAAATTTCAAGTTTCATTTAAATAGTTTTCATTTTTTATTTGATAGAAAGTGCGTGCGTGCATTTCGTCGCCTTTTGGGCGGTTTCCCTTGATTGAATGCTGTGTGACTTTTCCCAAGACGTTTGATCGCTAAAAAGGTTACTCGAGCAAAGTCCTATTCTGCTTTCGGACTGATTCGGCATTTAAAGCGGTTCAAAGATTTCGTCTGCACATGTCAATAAATTATATCAATTGTCAATGATCATTGCGATCACTGATTTATAGCGTGAACAAATATTTATTTGAGGCACAACGTTGCGTAACTGGTAATTGTCAACCTTAAGTGAAATTCGACTGGAGAAAGGGGACATTAAAAAAAATTTCTTTTTAAGTAGACCGATGATCTTTGAAATAAATATTTTTTTAAATTTTCATACTCTGTAGTAAGTTTTTTCATTATTACTATTTATTTTTAAACCTTGAATTCCTGTTTTTTTTTTTTAAATGTGTCAGTTGGGCGAATATCGTGACAATTTAGTTCTACACTTCTCGTAAAAATTTAATGTTATTAATCTAAAGAAAAATAATAGTATGAAGCAAATTTATAAGTTATTAATTTTAAATTAAATATCAATTGTCTTAAGATTTTAAATAATGGATTATTTCAGTTCAAAATCGGGAAACATGGTGGAATTGAAATCTGTATTTCTTACTGGAATTTCTTATATGTCTGGATAATTTCTTCATCTTAAGAAAAATAGTACTATGAGACAAATTTATCAGTTGTTAACTTTAAATCAAATATTAATCGTTTTAAAATTACAAATTATCGAAGGTTTCAGTAGAATCTGGAAGCATCGTGCAACTAAGTTTTATGTTTCTTAAAGGGATTTCTGTGATTTCAAGTTCAAATATATCTGAAACGAAAACTGATTCAGCGTAATAATAAGCCAAGCCTAATAGCTGTAGCGAAAACACGGTGTCTTGTTTACACACAACCAGCTGATTTCAGTTGTCTTCACGAGTTTCAGGCATCCAATTCTTTAAAAATAATATAAATTTCATTATTTATTATTAGATTTATTGACAAATACGTACAAATAAATGATAGTAGTAATATTGATAAGAATTTATTAAACCTCGTGAAACTGAATTTTGTTTCCTTTATCTTCTTAGTATCAAAATGTTCTAAATATCGTTACTAGTCCAGTTATTTACTTATTTATATATTTAAGTATTTCTTTAAATTTCATTAACTCACTCTGAAAAGTCATTACAAGAACTTTTTGTACTGTTTTAAAAAATAATACAAACTCTAAAAAAAAAATTGTATAAAATTTGAGTTAAAGGATTATTTTATGATAATTTTTGTCATTTAGTAGTAAAAATGTCTCAATTTAAGCAAGAAAATCTACTTATTTTACGATTGGCAGCAATTCGTATAAAAATAGAAGCAGACGATAAAAATAAGATATGTTATATAAAAGAGAGCGAAATTATTTCAATGCTAATGAATGGCAACAACAAAAANAAAAAAAAAAAAAAAAAAAAAAAAAAAAACAGCTGCCTATTTTTGAGAGAATTGAAACCCTTAAGTATATCATTTGCAAATGAAGACGTCTTGAATAAAAAATGATATTTTTTTATTCTATTAGGAAAGAAATGATACAAAATAGTTTTGAATACCACTCTTAGCACATTTTACTAATGATCAGTCGCTTATGGTGTGCCAAAAAAAGTTAAATCTGGTAAGTTAAAAAAAAATTTGTCATGATCTTAAAATGTGTGTTAATGGTTAAAACTTGGTGTGTTCTTTATTTTTTAAGGAAAGTGTAAGTTTGTTATCCTTTTTCTTTTGAGAGCTGATAA